AAATTAAGAATTGGTGAAATGGAAGATATCTTTATAAGTTAATGTATAAATAAATTAACAATTAAAATAGTTCTTAATTAATCAATACGTCTTCGACAATCCAACCATATCTTTTTTCTTGCATAATTCAAATAGTATTGATCTAGTGCTGGTGTCTCTACAAATTTATGGAAACAAGTATGTTTCTTGCAGTAAAGTGATGGTAATCACTCTCTCAAATAAAATATTTTAGGATTTATCAATAGATCTATTATAAAATTTTATGGTTCCAATCAGAATATGTTCAATTAATGGATTCGCAACAACTATATAATAATTTCTTAGATTCTAAACTCTATATTAGAAGAAATTTCAAAGAACTCTACTTTTTTTGAGTTTATGTTTGAGATTTGAACCAAATATTTGTGAAGTTATTTGTGGAAAATGCATGTATGGAGGGATTAGTGAACTGAATTCTAAAGGGAGTATGTTTTATCTTTTCTCATGAGATTAAATGATAGTTTATCTCATATGAGAGGATAAATCTTGTTTATGGATCTCCTTCCTCCCATTAATAAAATTTTCTCTCTAGTTTTCCAAGAGGAATGATAATGAGCTAATAATCCTAGTTCTACTTTAAAGCTAATTGAACCATATACAAAAGTGACTTTCATAAATAAAGTTTTTAAAAGCCTAGTAAAAATAAGAATTCGAGAAAGAACATGTCTTTTGGCTATCGACACTATTAACCAAGTGATACAAACAAGGCTAAAAACACTTAAGATACTCAAAGAACATCAAAAAGTGACTTGGAACAAATTTCAAATGATGTAAACACAAATAGAGTTCTAAACCTAGAAAGTTTCAGCGAACCAGTAACAAGATCAAAGGCAAAGAAGTTTAAAGAGTTGCTCCAAGTTTTCATTCAAAAATATATGGATGATGGGCTGACCAATTGTAGAAAGTTCAAATATGAACTTTTTGAACAACCCAAATTTGTAACTTTAATTGGGTTTAAATGATTTGAAATAATTTGGGCTTGTTTGAGTCTTATTGGTAATGGGTGAATAAGCCTTGTGTATGGGTTAGATTAGTTGAGTTGTTTTATTCTAGTTTGAGTTAATTAAGCCCATATAGTCAAGTGTAACTCATTTTGGGCTTAAGTCTTGTCTTGGTGTTATTACAAGAATGAGCCCATAATTATATGGTACCACAAATAATTAGTGGTGTTGGTTAAGAAGATTCGAGTTACAAAGAGTTACATAGCAATTACATGCCTATAATTAGCCTAGTTATTGTTGGAGTTACAATTGTAATTATTACATAATTAACCTAATTATTATGGGAGTTACAATTGTAGTTATTGTATTATAACTTATCATTGATTTCTTTGGCTATAAATACCAAATGAATTCTTCTTTGTGGACATCAGTTATAATAAAATATTTCAGAATTGAGTTGAGAGCGTTTTGGCTTTCTTTTCACTTTATGCACAATGTGTTGATTTGGAATATAATTTTTATCACTTGTATTTCAATTTTGATTTCTTATTTCAATTGTTCTTGGTGCTTGTTTGGATTTGGTTAAGGGATATCATTTATCTTTTTTGGGTTCTATTTAACTTCTACTATTTGGATGATTGAACAAATTTGATTCCTTTTTACTTGTGATATAAATTCTATTCTAAACCGATTGAAAAGTTCTAAAGTTCAAGCAAGGGTCTTGGGGTTCCGCATCACTAGGTTATGATGCAAGTTGCAAATAAATGAAAGATAGATCTTCTAAGAAACCCAGTAAAAGATAGAGCTCTCGGTTTTGATTTGAGCAATTTAAGCCATATTTAATCTATTAATTTCAACATGTTTTGTGAATTAAAACCTATTTAAAAGGGCTATGAGAAAAAAAATGATTATTCTCGTTAATTTACTCATTAATTAGACACAACAAGTAATTATAAATACATTATCAAATCAGTGATAAGATAAAATTAATTAACAAAAACACAACTAATTAATCAATTTACACCTCCAGTATTAATCATTTGCAAGTACGTTCTTCTTCATGTATTAGATTGTATTGTAGGAAAGTAATACAACTGACGGTAAAAATAGACACAATTATCTAAATAAATAGTAGGATATTATATAACAACGCAAGAAAGGTGATGGAAAGAAAAGTTGTTATTTGGCAAAGAACAACAAAAGAAATTCTTCATTCAGTTAAATTCAAATTGTAATTACTAAAAGCATATAGTTACTGATAGAGAACCCAAAATTAAGAATTTGATAAATATTATTTAATGGGGATGGGAAATGCTTTTTCCATGACCACCACGGCAGCGGTGGATTTTGGAGCAACCCCGATGGTAAGGGTTAGCCGCAACAGGAGGAGCATGAGGATCTTGGTGGCAACCAGGAGGTTTTGGTCCTGGTCTCAAACATGGATCCATAACCCCCGGATCGATCCATTTGGCTGACGCCGCCACCAGCAACGTGCTCATCATCAAAACAAACAACATAATCAATGTTCGGTTTTTATCGGACACCACCGCCATCTGCCCACAATTATTAGGCTCTCTCTCTCTCTCTGTATATCTCTAATTGTTGTTGTTTGATTTTCTTACAAACGATTTCGGTTCATTTTATATCTAATACAAGTAATTCTGTTTTGTCTGAATTCACGGAAACAATTTAGAAACAATATAGTTTAATATAGCCAAATAACTAATAACTGAAATTGTAACGGCCCCGGAAAATATTAAAATGAAATGAGTATTTAAATATATCGAATGCGGAAGCGAGATCAAAATTTCATTTAACATCCCTTACACGAAAAACCAAAAACGTACTTAAAATATAAAAGATTAAACTAACTAAGAAAGAAACTCGAAAATAAAACTATGCGTATGACTACAGAGTCTCTAGGCATCCCCTTCGTCGTCCTCCTGCGGAACGGGCTCGGGAACCATGTCTTCCTGATCTGAAATGGTTAATTAAGGAGTGAGCTACACTAGCCCAGTAAGAACATCACGATATCTCACCGTCACGGAGATAAAGGTGGGTAAAAAACCACAAAAAGACCAATGGAGCATAATTTACAATAAACTCGTTTATTAACAACAAAACCTTTTATCAATAATAAAACTTTGACCATCC